CAATGACTGATGCCAGGATTGCATCAAATGAACACAGAAAGTGATCGTCTGATTTCTGAGCTGTGCAGAACTCAGAGGGACAGACGGTGAAAATCTGCTCTGCAGCGCTGAATGGGCAGAAATAGCTTAATGTGTTTTCCTCTGAAATAAAACCTCATCATATTTCTATTTCATAGAGACTCTGATTATCCAGTTCACAGAAGCATCACTGCCTCCTGCTTCCTGTTGGTTTATGTCTAATATCTGATATCTATCCAGCCTGTGATGCAGTGAGGGCCGCTCTGCTGCGGGTCTCTTCATGGTTCCAGGATCCTGCATAGATACCAGTTCTTACTGTCATCCTGATCCAATGGATCTCTATCTACTAATTAACTTTAGCTTAATTGATCTATAATAAAATGAACCAGGGAATGCCATGAAGACATTATAGAACAAATACAGGATAGTAAAAGGTTGGAATGTAAAAAAGGATGAAAAATAAATAGATATAATTTATTTAGATAATAGATTTATATAGAGCAGATCTGTGGTGGGAGGGGCCATCCCTGTCTGCGCTCCCCAGTGATCTGGGGTCCCTCCAGTATCTGGGGCTCCTGTTGCCTCCTATCTATGCTGGGCCCCTGCAGGGCGAGCCTGGGGCCGCCCACTCCTGCTATTGAGCATATTTACCTTCAGAAGAAGCAGTGAATCCTTTATAAACGAACATGCTCATGCATACGTACCACAGCAGTTTGGTTCCAGGCCTTCATGGAGACTAAATACTGAGCAGCAGCTACAGATATAAACTAACCAGATTGATATCACTGCAGGTTTTCCTTCAGCACATGGAGATCTAAGGCCTTCCTGTTACTCTGCAAGCTTTCTGATCTTTACCTTGCTTTCAGTTGGTTTTCTTCATGCTGTTGTTTTGCTCTCAGGTTTTTTCCGCTCTCCTCCCATGCAGGAGTGGAAGCAGACGTCTACGAGTTCCTGTAGATCTTTCTGTTGTTTATTTTGCTGCATTGTTTTGTCCTTTTTCTTTTATTTCTCTTTCTCCTTTATTCTTATCCTCTCTTTCTTTCTTTCTCACCTCCCTTTCCATCTCCGCTGTAAATTTTCAATAAAGTTTAGTATATCTACCAAACATTCATGTGAGAGTAAAGCTGTTCTGCTATCATCTAGCTCTGCGACATAGATTCCCAGAGCTATACTGGTTAAACAGGACATAGAAATAAAGAAATAGACTGTTTACTGCTGGAGTTCCTGCAGATAAAACAGTCAGGGTTTGTTGTGATTCAGGGCAGGAAACACTAGAAAACTACTTCCTGTTTATCAGCCGTTAAACATGTTTAATTAGAACCAATAAACCTTCAGCTTCATTCTGGTTTCTGTGAAGCTTCGACTGTTGGGGGATTTTAGAAATAATTTCACAGAAACAATCAAAGGTTCTGTTGAGGAGTTTGGAGCAGTTAGAGCTTCACATTGATTATAAATACAGAACCAGAATAAACAAGGATCTGATCTAGATGGAAAAATCTAGACCAAGGGTAAAATCAGCAGTGATCAGATGTAAACATAAGATGTGATGTGATTTAGTTTTTCCACATTCAGCCATTTTTCTTTCCATTTTATTCATCAGTGTGATGGCGGCGGGGAAGAAGCTGCTGCAGAACCTGCATCAGACGCTGT